ATTTTCATCTTTCGATGTAATCACAATCTATAAAGTTTTAGATGAACGTAAGTGGAGTAAGTAAGTAAAAAGTACACATTTTGACTGAGATGTATACAGTGTGTACAATATAATGGAAATACTCAACTAAAGGATACATACCTAACATTCTACCTATACAGGAGTAGAGCAATGCTTGGGAAAATTAACTTTGTCACATTCAACCACTCACTAATCACACATGTTTACTTTAAAAGTAAATATAATTTGAAACCAATTTGACTTTAAAAGCAGAAAATCTCAAAGCTAGCTCGATATGTTTTCACGTCTGATGCCTTTTTTTGTGCACAGTGCTTGTCAGGATGCTTTCTGTTACCTGTGTTGTGACTTTGCTGCACTCTGGGAGGTGGGGGGGGCTTCAGTGTGTTTGCAGAGGGCGGCGTCTCGTAGCTCTCGTACGTGTCGTCTGCGTCTTGAGGCTCACTCTGAGCACAGATGTAGCCGTCCTCCTCCTGGACACCGCCTCCATTGTCAGGATCACTGTCATAGTCCTGACCCCGGCCCAGACATGTAGTGAGCACATGTGCACTGTTCTGTGTACTTTAACTTGTTACATACTACAGTAGCTGTTGGTAAATGTATCACTTAACAGGGGTTAGAGGAGAGAAGGACACAATGAAGACCCTGACGTTTTTATCATTTAAAGTGGCTTAACTTATAAACTAATGATCTCATAGCTTGTTACTCACAAACTCATCGGAGTCCCAAACTTCTTCCTGTTGTGCAGGTAAGACTGAAGGTAAAGAAAAAAGTATAGCATCAAGCATTATATTGGTCTACCTTTATGATATCTGTGGAATAGGTGAATCCATGTGTTATTTACCTTGCTTTGGGTACTTTTGTGCTTTTGATCTGCGCAAAAAATAAATAAATATGAAAGTTATGAATTGTTTTTCAGTTTCACATTCAGCAAAAGTTATAAACTCAAATCTGTTTCCTTACTTTTGACCAAAAGCCCTCTTCTGCTCCCCCTGGTTGATGTCACTCTGGATCTTAGTTATTATTCTATGAAGACACAAAACCATTTTTTATTCCATAGGAAACTGCTTGGTGTCCATCAAGTTATATTTTGAAGTCTGACTCACGGGACATACAGGCTGGGGAACACTTGGAGCTCACACGATGCCATTTGCTGTATGATATAGGATAGATATGTAAAATAATTAGTATTTCAGAATAGTAAAACATGTGTAAAGGCCTCCAGAGATATAGACATACTTACCAGGAAATGTGCTCCAGTCATGTTGCTCCTCATTACTAATTTGTCACAGCCAGATAACTTGAGCTGATAAGAAATAACACACATTTCTTAAATGGAACAGTCTTTCAATGTCAGATGTAAAGTTTAGTGTTATAGCATATAAATATATAGGAATAATTAAACAAACTGTAAACATTGAACTATTTTATACATTACTCAAGTCACTTGCATTGTTTTATAGTGTTTACCTAGTTTACATGTATCTGATACATTCCTTCCCATATCACAGACAAGGAACTGCACTTCTTACTGTTATTGAAAATACTAAAACACTTGTATTGCTTCTCGTTGATACTCACCTTCCTCATGTAGTCAGCGAGACTCTGCTGGTTCCATCCCATCACGTCCACTTTAGAGGGCACGTTGTTACAACTCATCCTCGTCTCTTTTATTAATCACATCCACTTACAAATAAACACTTTAATTACAACCAGAGCTCCATTTGTTGCAGCGGCTTCACAAACTGGTTTCTTTTAAAGTCTTGAACAAACTCCACCTACCTATAAAAGGACATTCGAAAATGACCTCTCTTCCAGTAATTTGTTTTTGTTATGTCTTTAGACTTTCTCTCTTCTCGTGTAAAAGTAGCTCTCCGTGGTTTGAAAGCACTCAAACGTATCGCTATGCACACACTGCAGCGTGTCTCACTCTAAACTTAGAGCCTGCTGGTTTCCTTTCACACATCTAAGTACGCCACCACAAGTTTGCAGCTTATCCTTTTAGTTTCTTTAACTAATGTGTCAGATTTTTCACATGAACATCATTGTGAGATGCAGATTCTGTAAACATTTTTGAAATATGGTGAGATCTAAACAGCCTCTCTTGTGGTTTCTGTTCACATGTTCTTCTAGCTTCCTTTAAAGGCGCTGATTCAAGTTGCTGTGAAGAGATATCAGCTGAGTCCTGTTGTATCCCAGCCACAGGCCTCATGGTATCTCACACCCAGGTGAGAGAGGAGGGCAGCAGAGAGAGGGGATGATCAATCACGCTCAGACCCCCAGGCTTGTCTGGGTGAATACATGAGTCCTCCTGGGGGGTCCCTGCGGGAGATCACCTCCCCTGTTTTCCTCCTCTGTCCTGATTGGGAGACATACCCCCCCAATGAAAGACATGAGACTGCCACTGTGGAGGAGGCATGTAATGGGGTATAACTATAAAGCAAGCGGGCAAAACCTTCAGATGTATTGGTCATATGCACAATAGCAAAGTGTTATCAAGGAAAACCTTAGATTTTAGACTCTTCCAACAATGCAACATACTTAACATAGAAACTAAAATACATGAAATAGGGCAAACAAATAGTACAGTAGACACAATAGTGCAAAGTAAGACAAATACATACATAAAAGATAGAATAAGATCATTGCACACGTAATGTAAATAATATCCTGCTTTATATTGGGTTAACTGAAGGTTGTTGTTATTTTGTCAGATGGTTTATGGATTTTTTTTATCTTCACAGTCTCTTTTATATTATCTATTCCCTATACTCTCGAATGCCAGTTTATTTCTATTTCGAGATGTTTCTATTTTATAATTGTTTATCTCATTTGTAATTATGTGCAATTATGCTGCTGCAATGAAACATTTCCTAATTTGGGATCAATAAAGTACTTCTTATCTTATGCTGCTGCCTATTTTCATATTCATATTTTGGGATGAGTCACTGACCCCTATAAAGGACACCGTTAAGGGACTTTACCAGTAGTTTGTCAATCACTATCGAGCAACAGCAATCGTATGGGAACAACATGGAAGCAATAATGTCCTCAGCGGAGAGCAGAGAGGAGAGGCGGGTCGGTGAGGGCCTCCAGTGGGGCGAAACCTTCATTAACGCACAGCAGGGCATCATGGGAAATACAGGACATCCCCAGTAGCAAAACAGACAAATGGGAAGGATGGGAGGGAGTGTTACTTTCCCTCTGGTTGTTTCTGTCCATATGCTTCAATTACGTTTTGCCCTAAAAAGGTATGTTTGCAATTATGCTACGTTATTTTATCAGTGCCTACGGGCTTATTCGTCTAATTTTCACAAACTGTGTGTACTTTCTGACTCCAATGAGAGTGGAGAGATCAATATAGGGGATTTGGCAATATAGGACTGGATCAGGGTTTGCAACATAAACCCAATAAGTTATTAGTGTTGAATTTCAAATATCAGATCTGTGGCGATTTGCTTTCAAATTTGAGTCCGATTTATAAAAGAAATACTAGAGTTATCATGAGTGTAATAACAGACTTGCATAATGTTGCTTTTAAAAAATGGTATTAATCGTTTTACCAGTGGGACCTTATGATTTATGATTGTGCTATACAAGATTTGTTTTTCGTTTGATTAAAAGGTGTGTCTTAACTGTGATTCAGTAAAGAATATTTAATCCTCAAATAAATTTAGTGTTTCCAGTATGTTTGAGTGACATTCAAAGCATATTATCAGGATAACAAAGGGAGTCACATTACCTTTTTTTCGGATAATCTTAAAATGAAATATTCATATCGTCTCAGCCTAACCCTAACTGACACCAGTTGATCAACTGTAAGCTATATGAAATGCTAATCCTGTAACTTCTCACTTATCTCCTCACTAACTGCCTGAAACAGCCTCGTCCCCCTCTCTTGTCCCCTAGGCATGGACCCCCCCCCCCCATTCAGGTAATATCCATGCCATCACTCATTGAGCTGACACAGTGGCAGATTTATGACGTGTCCAGCTGGGAGGAAGATTTTTGGAGATGCAGGGGGTAGAGGAGAGGAGGAGGTGGATGAATGGCTCTTCAGACACAGATAGGCCAGGGGGCGGAGACCAGGCTTCTCTTAGAACTAATTACTTGCAAATTAAAGGATTATAAATGATTTTTTTCAATGTGGGATTGATTCAGTGCAATATCTGGAACCCAATTTGCTTCAACAGTAAAGTTGGGTCACATTTGCTGTTACACTGTCCTCTCTTTGATGCATTGTGATTCATTTGCATTGCCTGTGGGATGTTACAAAAGACTAGTTAGCACAGGCTGTAGTGTCCTGGATTATCAACCCTAAAAGTAATTTATAGTGGTGGAAATGCTTCCTGTAATTTCTCTTACAAAGCATTGCTGCTCTTTGAGTGAAATCAATACACGTTGACATCAAAGTGGCAGTGGATCAACGCTGGATCAACATCTTGGCTATAGGTGCGAGCTGCACCATGTTATCCATGTAATCCTCGGCTGAGTGTATTCGCCACATTCTTATTCTAATAGACACTTGTGTGCCCTCACTTAAAATCCAATGACCCTGGGATGTAGGTGAAACATTCTAATGTTTATTGACCGAAATGAAACCACATTCAGAGGTATTTTAAACTTTTTTATTTTATTTTAAGAAAATATTTATAAATAGACATGTACGTTTTTATACAAGGATACAAAAAAGTGCAAAGAGACATTTAACATGCTCATGGGCCATTTTTAAAAACAGATTTTACGACGAGGCCATTTTTTTTCACTTGGGTCCACGGTACCTCCGTCTATAGCCGTGCCCATCAGCCGCTTCCCTCCTGGCGCACACGTGTTTGACTATCACCTGAGAACAGTCCTCGCAGTTCACCGTGCAGCACCATTGGAATTTGCAGTTGCAGCTACTTACTACCTCCGTGCGCCTCTCCTCCACCTTCAGGCCGCATTCATGACACAACCTGCGGCAGCTGCGCCTCTCCCACTGGGTCAGCCCCTCCCCGTGCTGCAGGCACTCCCGGCCCTCGGTGCCATACAGCCCCACGCTGGTGTTCCTCCTGCAGTAGTCCGGGGAGTCCTCCAGGTAGATGAGCTCAGTCTGGGCCACGCTGCCGAACGCGTCCACGATGGCTCCTCGGTTGTCCGCGCTGTTGCCAGCACGCATGCGCTTCTTGTTGATGTCAAGTTTCTGCGCTTGGCTGTGCTTCAACTTCAGGTAGTTGCCGATGTCTCTGAGATCTGACAGCTGCGTCCAGCAGGTTTGGACACTGCAGCTCTCAGACATGCCGTGACATCTACAGATGCGCCTCATTGTTGCCTTCACTGCCTGTTGGAAACATGGGAAAGTTACAAACCACTCATAATGATTTAATTTCAGATACATGTTTGTTATGGGAGAAGCACTCACCAGGCGCCCAGCCGCATTGTTGTGCAGGTTGACTGCAGCCCTGGAGTCCTGACCTGTCTCCTGCGCGTCCACGTACTGTTTGGAAATCCTCTCTCCGAAATCCACGTTATCACTACAGCCACCCCACAGCCAGCCACTACCACCTGCACACAACACAACAATTATATATAATTCGTTTTGTGTGCATGTCATAATAAAACAATGATTATATTTTGGTGCAAACCTTACCAATTTTACCGTTCTTGGAGACATCACAGCCGCAGTTTTCGAGGTCTCCCAGACTACAGTTCCTGGTCAGAGTGTACATGACCCCCGCTGCACTGATGGCATGGACGAAAGAGGTCTCTCTGGTGGCTGGAAATAGGATAACGTGAGCATTGCGTAATCAATAATAATACAAACAATACTTGGTCACTATAACTTTTTATATTAAAACAATCGATTGGGCTGATAAGGCATAATTAAAACCAATGCAACTTGTGTAACTATAAGACCAGCATTCGTATTTATTTATGGGCCCCTACATATTTCTTCAATAATTGTGTAACTCTTAACACATATGCCTGTACGTTTTTTTCGTTTAGAATCCTACACACAACTTGTATTTTACAGGAATTGCATTTACAATCTCGACCTACCTCGTCTCAGTCCTTTAAACTGAGTTGCGCTTTCGGGGCAGTTCCATCTGTCCCACGCAAACTGGTGTCTGCACTCCTCAATCCCACTCATTGCGCCCTCCTGCACGCTTCTTGAATAGGTGAGATATGTCTGCAGAAGAGGCAACATCAATTATATTTAGCCTGATTCACATTTTTGAAATGTTATCCTAAACTTAATGTTATCTTTTGTATTTACCTTGGGTCCCGTCATAAGAAAGTTACTCACCACCCTGAGAACAAGATAGAGGATAAACAATTAGATCAATAAAGCCTATCTTAGGTCTTCACAAATTGAAACGATGCAGGCAAAGTAGAAAAACGTTTCTTACCAAGCATGTCCCGGACACATTTTGTGTAAAAGAGTCAGGAGCCAAAATAATAAGTGCACCATTTTCTCCTGCACCTTTCAGCCCTCAAAGTAGAAACCTCGATATTTTGGCCCTATGTGCTGCCACTTTCTCTCTTAAATGAATGAATAACAAATGGGACTCTTGTTCTTTGTCCCCTAGGTCCGAGAAAGCTGATTGGATGACGAGTTAAGGAAACGCCTATATGCGCACTTCAAAGGATGGCATTAGGAGACAGTTTATTTTCTTGCCCAAGGCTGTTTGACACCAGGGCACAAATATACAAAAGACTGCCAGTGACAAATCGGATTGAGACATACGTATTGTAGAAAAATATTTATTATAATTTCAATTAAGAATACATATAAAATACAAGACAATTTACAGACGCAACAAACCAGTTATCCCTGAAACCCAACACAAACGAGTGAGCATGAATGGAGAGTTTTGTCAAAATCAAATCAAAAGAACAAGTGCATTAAAAGGTGTCAGTTGATATGTCAAGTTGAAAATTAAAGTTGCATTCTTGTAATACTGAATAATGTTTGTTAATGTCCATAATAGAAATAGAGATCCAATGCAACAAATAGTAGTCAGTGGCGTTGCGCACGGTTCCTGCGCTTGGCTTTATTATGTGGCTTCCTGCCACCTTGTTTACGCGCGCAGTAATATTTCGTAACAACTTGCGTACATTTGTCACACTTGACCGTGCAGCACCAGTGGAATTTGCAGTTGCAGCTGCTGACGACCTCAATGCGCTTCTCCACCACTTTGAGGCCACATTCATAGCACAGCCTGCGGCAGCTCTTTCTCTCCCACAGGGACATGTTCTTGTTTCCCTTCAGACATTCCCGCCCCTCGAGGCCCTGGAATCCCAAGCTCCGGTTCTTGACGCAGTAATCCGGGGAATCCTCCAGGTAGACGAGCTCAGTGCGAGCGATGCTCCTAAAAGCTAGTGCAATGGCTGCTCGGTTGTCAGCGCTGTTCCCAGACCTTGTCGGCTTCTTGTCCATCTCCAGCTTCTTTGCGTGTTCGTATTTCATCTTCAGGTAGTTCCCCACCTCTCTGAAGTCGGCCAGCTGCATCCAGCAGGTTTGGATGCTGCAGCTCCCGGACACCCCGTGGCACTTACAGGCTCTCCTCATGGTAGCTTTGATTGCCTGCAAAGAGAGGGACCGTGTTAGTTGGTTATTTATTCACAACACATGCACTACTTCCTCCTCCTTGGATTGCATCCCACGCGTAAATTTCCCCAAAAAACATCAATTTTCCTCCCCTGGCCTCAGTTTATTGCTCATATTGGAATTTAGATAGTCCATAAATAGTGGTATTGTATAATAAAGTACATTTACTAGTAAGTACTACTACTTACTACTTACTTGCACTACTTTACTATACTTTACTACAACAAATGCTACTTTATACTTAACTCAACTACATTTATATAAAGAATTGAGTTACTATGTAGTTCACATATAGAGATTATTAACGAATACAGGTCATAAATAAACGATATGTTTTTCGGTTGCAGTATATGAAGTTATTAAAATGAGTTCCACATATATGAATCTGGAATGCCGATTACGCACAAAAGGTACTTTTTCATTTACTTGTGCCAGAGGGCTTTTTCAATGTAGAATTGCTACTTTTACTCAGGTTAAAAGTCAGAACACTTCTTCCACTGTCCATAACAAGTGATAATAAAATCTAGTGAGTAATGAAAAATCATATCTTACCAGTCGGCCTGCCTCGTTGTTATGCAGGTTGATTGCTGCGCGTGAGTCCTGCCCACCTTCCAGCGCGTCCACGAACTGTTTTGAGATATTCTCTCCAAACGCCACGTTATCACTGCAGCCTCCCCAAATCCACCCTCTACCACCTGGTGAATCAAATACACACATTGTTTTAGTTATCATAATGATAAAACAAATATTACGTAATTAATCTAATGGTAACCTAAATAGATTATGCATAAAATAGATATTTACCTGTTTGTCCAATTCTGGAGTCGTCACAGCCGCAGTTGTCAAAGTCTCCCATACTGCAGTTCTTGGTGAGCGTGTACATCACACCGGCAGCGCTGATGCCATGGACAAAAGACGTTTGTCTTGTTGCTATAACAAGTGAAATAGAGTCGATTAGTTTTTATTCCAATTGGGAACGATAAATGAGCAATGGCTGCAGTTTACTACTGTGCGTAAAATGTGCGTAAACCGTGCGTAAAGGCATGTTGTTGTGCGTAAGGGTGCAATACTGTGGTGCATGTATGGTGTTTCATTGCTGTGGTCCCAGTAATTTATTTATACTTTGGATTTGTGTCTCTTCTCAATGGAGGTCAGACAACATCATCCCCTCGTGTTGAAGAATTCACTTTGTGCAAAAGAACAATTGTTGGAGTTGAACTCCCCACAACTCCACCACTTATGCAAGTCATGCAAGGATATGAATATGGACCTACATGTCTTACCACTGCGGAGGCCGTTGTGTGTGGATAATTGGAGCGTGTTTGCTGGGCAGTTCCAGCGCTCCCACGCGAACTGGTGTTTACACTCGTGTATTCCGCTCTGTGTGCCCACTTGCACACTACCGGCATATGTCAGAAAAGCCTAGGGAGAGAAAAATAAAATGTAAAGTTAGTCATTGTTGCATTCAATCATTCAGAATAGGTTTTTAATTTTTTTTTTTAATCGGCTAACATATTTGCGTTTTCGGGAGTGTTTCAACGCAAAAACGTGCCCAGAAAGTTTGATCAACATGTATTTACCTTAGGTCCAGTCATGAGGAAATTATTCACCGTCCTATAGAAAGAAAACAAGAAAGCCATGTTAGTCCCTTGCCACTTTACCACCAGTAAACACATATACACTGTAGTATGTTATACACGTATTAATCCAAAAGTAGGTCACATACCAAGCCAATGCAAGATGAGCATGACAGCACATGGATAGAACCATGGCTAGGAAATAAAAAGGTCCCATAACAGCTGTATTCCAAACGGAGAACTTTTTTTTGTTAATCCCAGATGTTATTGCCGAGAGAGAGGAGAGGCAATTGATGATTTAGCTCAATCCATGCTGATGATATTTATATGGTCCGGCCCCTTGACAGATTTTTCCTGCAGGTAACGGTCGACTGTGAAAATGCGTCCACGACGACATTGATTGCCCATTCCTTTTGACAAATAGGAGCCTTCGGTGCATAAATGCCCTTCAAAGAAGTCAGCCCCCTCGCTCTCTCCCCTATTCATTCACCTGTCGTTCTCAGGCTATAATCCCTAAACACTTTTCTTGACGAGTGGACGCATATCCAGTATGATTGGACACATTGAACCAAATATCAATAATATAGTTAATTGATTATATGTTTACAATAATATAAATCAAGTGGGGGATATTGAAATGATGTGAGAAGACGAATCGTCGAAACATATGTAAGATCACTGTAAAACTATCTTGACACATAAACCATTGGAATTCAAGGATTTATTGTTTTTAATGGAGGCTGACTGTTGCACGGAGGCCTGCCACATTTCATAATCAACTTTGTTAGACATTAAGACATTACATATGTCTCCAGTTATACGTTAAGGAAAAACAGGACAAAATGCCGGGCTGAGGCTTAAATGTGTAGCCGGCTTGGAAACGTGTGGGAAATGGCACCAGTTCCCCAGGGAGAAAGACTGCGACTACAAAGTCATAAAGTCTTTCAGGAGCTGATGGTATATAGTCATGTAAATACTCCCTCACACATCGGCGACATTGACATCGTCCTGATAATAGGATAATAGATGTTTTCCTGGAAAACAACTCGGTGTGAAAACAGTCTGGAATTTACAAGAGTATAAACAAATAACAGCTTTAATGTCCTCCTAACCATAAAATTGTAAATGATTGCATGTTACATCTTTTTTGTTGCTGCTAATTTGTAGTTTTAAATTTAAAGATCGATGAAGTTGATCATTCATTAATTAAATCCGGGATTATCCAGTCTCATTAGATTTCATTTAGCTGATCATCCTTGATTTAGTCAAAAGTCATCATACCAGTTTCTGTCATTCCATACTCATACCGTGATTTAATGCGAGACGAGTTATTGGTTAACATTACAGTTTTTACATTTAATCGCTTACTTTTCAAATCCCCTCTAAACCACTCAAAATCCCCTAAAACAACAATACACTGCGCATCGGGCAATATGCAGAGGACTGGGCGAGCTCCTCCGCACAATAGCGAGGAGGTGTAGGTGAGGATAATCCCTACTAATTAGATATGACCTGCATTCATACTGCAATAAGATGGAAACCTGGAGCCCCTCATCACCTGGTTGGGAAATAATACCGAGCGATACAAAATCAATCTGTGATGCATCACAATGTGTCCCTAACCGAAGGCTCATTTAGGGATTTGAATGGGCAAACAATAGTAATCTATCCAGATGGGCGTGTTGCAGCGTGGGTGCGAAATTTTCAAGGACAAATCACGCGGATTAAGTTTCATTAAAATACATTTATTTAATGAATGTGCTATTAATACATTATTTAATCCGACTTTTTGGCAGCTGTCAAATGTACAATTTGGTAGCCTAACTATGTCAATACAATTTATTCAACGGTGTTTTACTATTAATCAAACAAAACAATACTATTAGAATAATAGCACTTTAAGAGCTCCCTATTCATTTCGGAATGTATTTCAACGCATATTTGTGTATTCCAGCTCAAGAGGGAGACGGAAGGGTCAGGACCTTTTTAAGTTACGCCATGCTTGGAATAACATCAAGTAAAAATGCGCACTAATTAAATTGTTCTAACAGACATTTCAGACACATTAAGCCTTCAACGGAGTGTTGACGGGAGATTTACGGCAGTGCAAAGTGAGAGAAATCGAGCAATAAAGGCTCAGGAGGTGACGGGCTTCACAGGCCGAGGGAGGGTGGCAGGACTGCTGACGCCAGCCAGAGACTTCAGTCAGGGCACAGATCGGGCTGTAGATTAACATTGTAGCAGGAGGGTGTTACGGGAAACAAAATAAAAATGTAATAAATAAACTAGGCGGCATTAACAACATATCAAATCATAACTGCAAAAAGGTTTAGTAAAAATCCCTTATAGTGAGAAACATAATAATTTGTTTTGAAATCAGAATACTTCATTTATCACAGGGGGAAATTCGATATTTGTCAGTAATATAAAAAGATAACATATAATTAAAAGATTTATATGGAGTAAAAATGTGCAAAAAGAAGATTACATAAAATGAAATCCACCTATTTACATTTACATATTAAGTTAAGAAACAATGTGCATGTTCTACTACAATACATTTAAACAAAATGTGTATACAAATATATACAGGGGTGTATAAGTCATGCAAATAATGCACACCAGATTGTTGATAAAAATATACATTGTACAGTAATAATCCTAAATGTTATTGCACAGTTTAATAATGGCACAGGTTATACTGAGATTGGTATTAGCCTACTGCACAGTTTGAGATGGTGTAAACTGTTGATTGGTGAAGTAAATCCAACAGTCTGTTGACTGAATGAAATATATTTCGTTCTGCAGTAATTCCTATTCAGATTTAATGATTGATATATTATCTTAAATAGCCCTTTCCAAACGTCCATTCAGAGTGGTATTTGTACACTGCTGCGTTTGTTTATGGTGTCCGTCTCTATGACAATATTGTTGTCACCAATCCCCTCCTTCCTCTCTTTTTAATCAACCATAATCCAGCCTATCAGAGGAATGCAACTACTGCTAGCTAACAAGCTAGCTCCTGCTAGCTACATCATCCAGCAGCACTGCTTTTGGAGTGTCTTTATGATCTTGCTGTAAAACACTGAATGATAACAAGTAGGGCCGGAACTCATGTCATCTTTCATATACATTTAATCTAAAAGTGTTTTTATTAATTCATCATTTGCACATTCATCATTTGGTCGATATCAAATATTTAAAAGATAGCCCCAGAGTCTAGGGTGCGGTCTTCAAATAGTTTTCTTGGTACATTCAAAAGTCTAAAACCTTTTAAATGTATGTAATAGAAGGGTAAGGCAACACAAAAAACACATTTGAGAAGGCAGAATTATTAAGCTTTTAGTTAGCTGATTATCAGAATGTTTGGAGTTTTTTTTGTCCATTAATCAATTTATAATGCTAAAATAGCTTGCAATGTCCCCAGGCTGGCTGCCTTATTGTTGCCAGTTAAAAAGAGATGATATAAGGAGTTCTGTTTAAATAATTTATTCATTCATATTAGAGTTTTGTAGTTAATTTATTTTGTTTATTTAATGTTCTGTTCAAATGCATACGAGTGTGTGTTTAGCTAGGAGGCGATTATTCGGATTCTTCTTCTTATTATTTGTATATTAGTATAGCCAACACTTATTCTTAAATTATTAACAGTGCAATATGTTTTGCCCCTTTTTGTACAAATAACTCAACATAATGTAGTTGTCAAATATCATGACTTTAATATGGCTCTGTATATACTCACATGGTGTGAATCATAATATAATTGTATACTTAAATATACAGTACTGATCAATCCGTAATCTAGATAACTCATTTTTATTAGTGTATTTATTCCATGTCTGAGCACTCGGGTGTGTGTGTTACACAGACATAAAGGAGACAGCAATAGGCACAGGACTGACTGGTTTCACGTCTTCATATTTATTTCATAAATAAAAGTAAAAAGTTGAATAAGAAAACATCCCACATGATTCGACTCCGATTGCTCCCATCTTTAGACATCCCCCCCCCCCTCTCTCTCCCTCCCACTAGCATGGATGCCTGCCTCTCTCTCTGTGCTACATTACTACACCACTCCCCAGTTTGGCAATATTGGAGACATGTTAGCAATAGGCTAACAGTGCAAGACAGGCACCCAAGCTAATAACCACAGAACCCCCAATGAGGGGATGCCTTAAACACTTTACGGCACCCCGAGATGCTCAAAAGCAACCTTTTCTGAAGACAAAGCAAGAGATTGAAATACTGTGATGATAAAAAAAAAGTGCTTTTTGCTGTGGCATCTCAGCATCTTTTCTTCATGTGCTCGAAGTCAAGGTGTGGCATCGCCTTTCCTCTCTTGCTCGATGGCTGGAGGAGGAAAAAAGAAGATAGTTTAGGTCAGCAGGCTTGTGTTTAGTGAATTTGTAACAGGGAGAGTGATGCGTTTTCATTAGCTGTATATGAATGATGTGCTGATGTTGCAGCAAATGGTTTTTCTTCCGCTCTGCTTGCTAAGCGTGTAGTCTTCTGACAGCAGTGAAAGTGATGAGTGGCTTCTGCCAGGAAAATTGTTGCAGGGGAAACAAGGTTTCTGCCCAGAAACACACACCCACACAGACACACACCCACACAGACACACACCCACACAGACACACACCCACACAGACAGACACACACACACACACACACACACACACACACACACACACACACACACACACACACACACACCCACACTATCTCACACACACACACACACACACACACACACACACACACACACACACACACACACACACAAGGGGCACTCACTTTCTTTGGTGGGCAGAGGGTTTTTCTCTTGTGTTTCTGTCTTCTTCAGCTTTGCCTTGTCGAAACGGGCAATCTCCGTCATATCAGGCTTGTCAGACATATTGGCTGTGAAAGAGGAGATAGAAAGAAAAACACCTGAGCACAGAGATTTCCCCCTTTCCTGTCAGTCATCATACTGACAATGCAGCAGCACATTGTCTTGGATCTATTCTGTAATGTAAGAGCAATTACAAGTCATCACAATAGCTGTCAAAAATCTAAATGCCTTTGTCTGATGTTGAAGATAATGTTCTGTAACTGACTGAGTAGCACGTGTCGTAGCCACACCTTTCTGTGAAGACATGGCTGCAAGTGAGCGGGGGCAGTCTAGCACATGCTCTCTCTTGATATTCCACAGTACCTTTTTGGTGAACATGGGTCCTTTTTTGTTTTACCTAGCTCTCTGCTCCTTTCTTTGTCTTTGTTTTCCTCCTCTCAGAGCCAGATTTCTTTGTCCTCTTTCCTCCACATCCTCTCTTTCTCTCTTCCTCTCTCACTCTGCCTCTGCATCCACCCCTGCAGCGTGGTGGATTCAGGCAATCCTCCACTGCAGTCATATTCCTGACCTAGCCGCAGGTCTGACTAATCTCTTTTCCACAGTCTGCTCAGAATCTGCTGCTGAAATGTGACACATTAGCCTGCAGCCATTTGCAAACCTAGCTACTGTAAAATCACTAGTCTGTATTCAGAAGAGGAGGCCTAATACAATCCCTTGGACATAGAAAAAGACATACTGGAAACAAGGCCACGATTTGAATTATTTCTTGAAACAATCTTTTCTGGATTACCCTCTAGCAACACATTGTTTCTTAATCTTACCAACAGCCGCAACAGTCCTAATCTCACTGTTCTTCAATTCAATCAGTAAACCTAACGATTCAAACATTATCTCCATTGTTCCCTCGTCATCCTCCAACATCCCTGTTTTCACATCATTTCCAACAACCCCTGCTCATCCAGCCACACCCCGGTCCTTTGTTTGTCTCTAAAACAGAAGCAGAAAAAGACACAGCGACACAGACACATTGAGAAACACACTGAAGCAGGGATGATTCGTTCTTACCGGTGTTTGTCAGAAGTGGGCTAGAAATCCACCAGTGGAGGGATAGAGGCAGCAGAGATGGAGAGAAGGGAGAGCGATGCGGAAGCTGAGTCAATCTGCCGGTGTGTGCACGCCTGCCTGCATCAAGGGTGTGGGTTTAAGAGGGAGGGAGGGAGGGAGGGGGAGAGATGGTGGAGAGAGAGAGTGACTGAGAGCTTGGTCAGCCTTCCTCCTCGTCACCATGTCCTTTAGGGAAAAGACAAGAGGACTGATAGGGAACAGCTGTGGATGCTTATCTGGGATAGATTATGATACATTATTTATGTATTACATTGTGTGTATTATGGATTTTATGATACAGTTCCCTGAGTAGGTCAGGGGCACACTGCGATTGTGGAAAGAGGATTTGCTGCTACCAGTGTGTACTCTGAACACTTCTATACTATTCATGTCATGCTGAGCGTGATGAGTATTTATAAGATGGCAAGTCATGCTATAAAATGAACCAGTGCCGCATAGTATTTATAGCTGAAGCTAGTTTGCAAGACCTGTCCATAGATAGTCCTTGTTTAAATACACAAAGAACCAGACCAAACAACATTTAAAAAGCACAAAACACTTAAAATCATATATTACATTTGCCATACAACTCTGGTTAATCATAATGGTCCATGTTCTCTTACAATTCTTGTATACAACATAATTATATATTGAGAGTTATTAGTATTAATAGGATTATGAACATATGACCATGCCGATTAGTTCACGCTGCCAAACTAAGGCCCTTTAAAAAGCCATATTTATATATTTATTGTTTATATTTATAGGCAGACGTTGTGGACCAGTGTCACACAGAATTTATAGACCAAGCTAATTTAAAATAACCATCCTTAAAAGGACTTTTATACAAATACAGAAAAGTGTGAAATACTAAACAATAATGCAATAAAATGACCATAAAACGCAATGACAAACGGCAGATTATTCCTGACTATATCCCCCACACAATTAGAGCTGATTGACAGAAAATGAATCGGCAACTATTTAGATAATAATCAATATAAGTTACAGTAAAGTAACATCTCAAATGTAAATACTTCTAGTTTTATTAATGCCCTTATAGTTAACTATATATTTACATTTTACAGTGTTGGTCAAAAACTAAAAATGTTAAGTCGTCACTTTAGCCTTAGAGGGGAACAGAAATTCTCTTATTTTTGTGTTTACCACAATATGCTTAGTGTTTCATTTCTGAAATGTAAAAATATCCCATATAATCACAAACATTGAGCTCTCACATCTTTCCAAATTCATTGTCTTTAGATACTTTATACATGATGACATCATACATTTGAGGTTTAGCACTCTAGTTTTAGATTTGAGAGACTATTTTTAGTAGTCCAAGACCATATGAATAACATTATGGAAATGTATGGAAATTAATATGGCTATTTTCGTCTTCACTACTCTATGGCATTTTAAAGACAAACTCATTAATTCATAAACAAACAGTAAACAATGACAAAAGTAATCCTTAATTTCCCCCATACATACTCATTATATGAACACACTGTCAGTAACTCATCTCACTATCAAATTCCATTTTATGATACAACATTGTTTTTAACTGGTTATGGCCTACAGCGAACCGCTTATTAGCATATCTGAACGCATTATTTCAGCATTTCTTGTCACATGCTTTATTTGGTGACCAAACACACAAATCAAACAGCTCATGATTACATCAGGCTCTAACAAGGCCATGACGTTCAGAGCTCATGGCCCTTTGCTGACATCATGAAAGCTGCTGGTCCTTAATCCTGCCAGAGCTACAGTTACAGAGAGGGCATCTCTCTCCGAGCAGACGTCTCAACTCAGAATAGCATCGCCATGATGAGTCAACATGATCTCAACCTTATGAAATGATACGATGAGCCAGGCCTTGAGATCTGGGGAGCATAATGTGTGACATCATGTTCCTGGATGACTCTGGGCTTTACTGGATCACAATGAGGTCATACATACTGTAAATACCTATGGGGGCTTTGTTAGGAGGCTGTGCCACCATCTACTGGCTGATGTGTGGAACTGCTTCATTTAACAAGAGTCATTCAATCACAATTCCTGGAAGGAGGAGGAGGAGGTTGTTAAAGCACAGCCCTCAAATGCTGAACAAAAAAAACCCTGGAATGAATGTCAAAATGGCCGACTTCCTGTTGGGTTTATGGTATACCTCTAAAGACTTTTCTGTACGTCTCCACATGTGACATACCTACCACATTTCCATACAAGTAGGATCAATACATGTCAGGGACTGCTCTATTTGTGAAGCTGTTGGGCTATTATTCCTCACTCATGCACAAGACCAATATTTTACATGAATATTCAACATGGCTGATATTTTAGTGATGATTAACCACATTTCTAAGCAATTTAAGGCTCTCAAAAATACAATTTGTTGGAGAAAATAATAATTAAATTCCAATAGGTTCATTTGACAAAGATGTTGTCAGCGTGCAGACCCTACTAACATGCTTGTTACACTTCCCCTCTCTATTAATTGCTGAATACAACAAACAATGCCTCATAATCCATAACCTATGTGATAGGCCTGTGGAGCTAATTATACGTCAGTGCTCTTCAAAACACGTACTGGTTTAGCCTTTCAGATGTTTGTTCATAATGAGTTGTTTGCTGCTTTAGGATACTGAGGGACAGTGTGAGAGGGGAAGATCTTTGACCTTCTCTAAATATGCCCGAGCCCTCATATTAACCTTTCTGTTTGAAATGTTATCCTATTTGAAGCTTGGAGATGCGAGGCCAACTGACAAAGGTCAGACTTGGCAGCCAAATGACCTGTCAGAACAGTAAGGGCGTCTCTGCCTGTTGTCTGGCTGACTTACAGGGTAATAGACCAGCAAACCTTTCCTGGGACCAAGTCTGTCTCGGCCCTGTTTGTCAAATATCAGATATCAGAGAGGAACTCATAGAAAGAGCCAGAAGGAAAGCAACCACATGCAACTTAAAATGGTTCAGTGTATGGATAGCTGTAATGAATTGAATATCTATCTATTTATTTAGCAATATTCAAAAACTAGAGGAATGATTTGCTTATGCACAGTAACCAATGATGTCATATATGGTGTGAACACAGGATGGCAGCACAGGACACTTTAAGATCTTTGCGATGCACCGAGATGAAGAGTCTATGATGGCCCAACAGGGTGCACTTATCCCTCAGCTCTGAGCAGCATAACAGCTTGTAGCAGCTTGAATCCTAATGACACTGATGTGATAAAAGAAAAAACTCTTTACGCTTTTCCAAACAGTCTTTTCCACACTTGCTTTAAGCCAGATAGCTCAGTGGTTTTGCATCACACTTAGAGAGAACAGGAGATGATTCAACTGATTGGAAAAGGAGAAATTATTGTCAATGCAGCAGTCAAGCATTTACTTTAATGAATATTGCAAACAAGCAAATAAGGCATAATCCAATGCAGTTCTATTTTGTGGGGATTTGTTGTGTTTGTTTTCTGTGACTTTCAGGTAACGGGGGTTAAGATGCAAAGCAGTCGTCAACATATCGAAGTGAGTTAGTGGGTTTACATCGGGGCTATGCAAGCAGTCTGTATGATCTGTGTTTACTGTACAGTTTGGCATAGCAACTAGAACACCGCTATTGTTTAGTTTAGAAATCATATCATACGCATGTTTTAACATGTTAGCATTGTCGTTGGGAGCTTCCAGAGTGCTGCAGTTATGATGTATTTTTGTCTGATAACCATCAAGTTAGCATTGCAAGGGCTGCCTTGAACAATTCTAATCATCATTTTCCACTTGGATTTGAGCAGAACATAATGCTATGTGGCTAACAAGCAATTAGGATTCTTAGATATTTTGATCAGCAGGATAACATATTAACAACACTTTTATAAAAATCAAAGCTTAAATAGAATCACCAGAAGTAAATAGCTAACCTTGGGCTTTGAACAAACTATAACATGGTCACATGACTTTACGTTACCATCGCTAAGCTAAAGCCGCCTAATGTTTGCCATCTAATCAAAAAACATTATTCACAAACCATTGACTGTGAGAAGAGCCAAAATGCTAAGGCATCTTCAGGTTTATGGATGGTATGCTGACATTAGCATTTAGCTAAAGCACCACAAAGCTGTTAGCATGTCTGTAGACTTTTGTTTGTTACATTTCACTCTCATCCTTCTACCAACAGACTCCTCATCCTTCTTACCTCCTGGTTGATTTACTTGTGGTCCTGTTCATATATTGGCCAGCTACATTTGTGCTCTCTAAAGCTTAGGTAAAGTAGTGGATTGTGGTTTCTCAGCACTCAATGTTAACAAGAACAGAAAACACACATTCCTGTTCTCACACAGGTCAAGTTACTTTTATCATCCCAGTTAGATGAGAGATGAGATTAAGTATAAGCAATGAATAAAATATAATTATCAACCACATTCACACAAATGTAATGCTGCCATGGCGTTTCTTTTATCAGCGCTATTGAGCCAACGGAATGACTTTAACTTAGATATGCAGATCTTCTTATTACTTTGTCAGCCCTTGTACGAGTTATCTCTGAAACAAATCGGATTACTCCACACTTAAAGAGGAATTAACTAAATCGAGCTGCAGCCACACCAGACTGGGGTGTGTTTCAGCAGAGTTGTGGGATGCATTAGGATCAGAAAGGACAGATAAGCACACTGCCTCAGCTCATGATCTCCACGACTAATGATGCAGCGTCTGATTGGTGCCCTGTGTTCCATCACCCGACCAATGAGCTGAGAGTATCTTGGTGTGGAGGAGTTATCTCACCTAGCCAGCTGGAGGACAGAGACAGAGATGACAAGAGGAGAAGGAATATAGCAGAGAGAGGAGAGGAGAAAGGGATGAGAGATGAGGAACCAAGAGAGAGGAAGAAATAGATGAAAGATGCTGCTTTATTAACAAAACATGTAGGTATTGTATCAGGAACAAAGAAGTGATGGCTGTGAATGTGAGGCCCATTATGGTCAGCGTGTGTTCACGGTGTTGTTAGCAGTGTTTGTGTAACATCACTCTTCATGAAATATCTACGCATTTAGGGTGAGCTTGTGCTTTGTTTGTGAAGACATCAAACTAAATATCCTCTATG